CTGGGTTATCAGGTCACAACAGCAATGCAGACCCCAATCTAGCCCACTGCAGATCCCCTTCGGACAAGTGGATGTTGTCCCAGTTTTCGACCAATTTGACGGAAGTCTGTGGCTGTCGCTAACACAGTCGTGAAGCGGGACAAGTGGATACATTATGGGAAAAGCAACTGATCAAAAGGCAAGTTGGGAAGGCAATTTACCTGTTTCCTTGATGAGTCTGTTCCTCCAGGAATCGAATAACAGACCTCGCGGCCGCTGTCACTTTCTTCAAGTAATCCAGATGTGCGATAACTACCCAAAATAAAAAGACACACATTTCATTACTTCCATTTATACAGGTTTTCCAGTGCCGTGAGAAATAGGCCATCTTTTGAATAAAGATGCAGTTCCGCGGCATAATGTAAGTACAAACTGTACGCAAAACATCCCTTTTTTTCTACCACTTTAACAGTAGACACTGCTTTAATTCAGAGTATCAAACAACAAGACAGTCGACGTCCAACTTTTTCACTGCGTGATTATTAGTGCAGTCTAATGTGTTTTACTCAAAAGCGCCTTTTGGACCTCCTTTTCACTAACGACGTTAGAATAAAGTGCAAGAGGTTTTCACAGACAGGAAGAAATGACGCGATTGGAACTCTGAACTACCTGCTGCGGGAATGACCAGCACAAAACGCTGAGAGTGCAGAATGCGTTTCACGAAGGGAAGATGGCCCAGTAGGCAGTACGTGTCCAGCACGAGATACGGCGACAGAAAAAGCATGTTAGATGATTGGTCGCCAGAGTCGACCGACGTATCTGCAGTTGCAACAGTGGAAGTGACGTCAACTTCGGTCGGACGTGATCCTTTTTGTTGTTCAGGAAGAAAGGCACCTGAATGCACACGCTGGGTTTGGCACATCTGTGACAGGGTGTCAACTTGATTTATCAGTCGCAAACGCGCCATATTGCGCATTGACTCTTCGCGCCGGGCGTCAGATTCAGTCTAGAGAGTACGAAATATAAATCACACATTTATATATAAGTACTACTGTGGACAATTAAGTAACATGCGCATTTGAAA